ACTGAAAGTGTATATTGGCTCCTGTTCGTTATTTCCAAGGACCAAACATCATATTGTTATACATTTTAGTTTTATAATTTAATCACTGTCAATTGACGAAAATTAATTTGAAACTAACTCGCTAAGGAATCCATTTGCCGACGACGAATCATGCACTACTGTATTATCTCGTATATTGACATTGATTCACACCAGACTCGAATAGCTCTCTGAATTTTTATTCTCAAAAGGCAGTAGAATGTAGTAGAAAAGCACACTGCGCAGATCGAAAGTGAAATAATAAAGTTAAGAAAAACAACTGCTATCTTCACTCACTTGTTCAAACTGCTTGACGTATGTACGTCGTAATTAGTTGAGGTTAGTTCAGATAACTGCACCCAACCGTGGCGTGTTCTCCTGTTTCACGTTCCGTCTACGACATAAACATATACAACGCGATAAGCTCTAGGATTTCCGAAATTTCTTTATCATTTGCGACAAATTGTACTCCCGGTCTCTTAAGTCCATATCGGAATAGATGTCAAGCGTAGCACGACTTTTGGATGAGTTACCAACTATGTTTAGCGCGGGTAAAGAGCTAAGGTTGGGTTAGAATAACGACTCGACAGGAAGAGATAAGACGCATTATCAAAAAGTGTGGATACATTGGCCTCGAATTTCAATCGCGTCGATACAGTCGTACATCGTCGCTCAATTGCGATTTTAATTTGAATTATCTACCTCGTTCCTCGTTTTCGATGTGCCTTCCGCACATTAGTCACTTTATGCCAATAACTAATCGTGAAACGAATTCTTATAATGTATGTCGTTGAAAAGCCGTGATTTTTACAGTTGTACCACTTTCATCGGCAGAAATGAAAGATAAAAGATTAATAGATCCCTTTTTTTGTGCGGCCAGTACTGGTCAGTGCGAAAGTATACGAACTGAACTTACTAAACTGACTCATTAATCACGTGATCAACTTCGATACTTTTCGAGAATATTTGAAACACTTCTTACGATCTATTGTATATAATATATAAAAAAAAAATATATATATATATCTATATCCTAGTCAGAAATGATAACGGAATCGATATCGATTCGATTTTCAAAAGGCCTGTTCTTTTTGACTAAACTCTTGTACGAGTTCATCTTTCTTCCTTTTCTGTCCAGGAGGAAAGAAGAGGAGAAAAGATAAACTGGTGCAAAAGTTCAGCCAAAAAGAACAGGCCTAAAGATGCAGTGCATTGCAGTTAGTGCGGACGCTTCGCACAAGGTACATTTCGAAAGGCACTATTAGCACTAATTGTATTCTTTTACGCCTAATAGACGATAAAGGTCTTTTTATATTGGGTACTTTCCACTTGATGACACAAGTCGGCACAAGTCTACCCAAGTGTCGTTTTATCCTTGTTGACATTCAGAGAGTGACGAAGATAGAACACTCGTGTCGACTTGTATCATCAAATGGAAAGCACGCATTAATGATCCGCCTCCCGAAATTGTAAACGATGCCGATACGATCAGATCACATCCAAAGTACACACAAAAATAGATGATACAATACCCACGAAAATGGTAAAGTCCGCCTCGACACCGGGCGCCTGCCGGTCTGCATCTGCCGGTCTACGCTGTCAGCTGTCTACGTCACGCGTCGTCACGCGGCATGAACGTGCGTCAGAACCAAAGACATGTGGTCTGTTTTCTGTTCCTGCACTAGACTGTTCTAGAACTCTCTTTCTCGCTAAACAAATATCAAACGTATATCTATCTCACTTTAAGTTCCGAAAGTGTACACTAGTTCACAGAAAACAGACCTATAGAGAATATGGACTGCGCGATTCGTATCTAAGTAGTGTATCAAATGTGGTCGACGATAATGAGAGAGAGGGACCGTGGGAGACGGCCAATCTCTCTCTCATTCTCTCTCCCATTGTACCATTGAATGGAAAGAGATATAAAATGGCCGTATGTATGGTCCCTCTCTCTCTCTCTCATCCCTGTCGACCATTTTCACACACGGATCGCGCAGTTCATTCTCTGTCTTTGGTCAGGACGAACGGATGGAATTCGTCCAAAACCGCGGGACAGTTGTATGTTTTAAGTTTATCAAGGCATGGTCTAACAATAAGCCGGCAATACTTTTCAAAATATACAAGCACTCGATGCGAGACGCATCCGGAACGAACGATTGGTTCTTCAAAACTCACAATGAAGGTAGAATGATGTTAATAGTAGTTGCTTTCCATTTACACACAAGTGAAACTGAGTCTGAAGTGAACTGAGTATTTTATACTCAGATTAATGACGTCACTACTTGCTTACTTTGGTAAAAAGTTATCACATGTCAATACAGGTTCATAACCTCACTTTGAAGTGAGTTTACGAGATTCATTAACGGTTTCGATCTTGTGCAGATTATGGGTGAAAACTCAGTTGAATCTCACTTGTCAGAATGCAAAAGGAACGCGCTTTCAACTGAGTTATGATGTCACAAGTGAGAATTATCTGAGAATCGGTGTAAATGGAAAGCAGCTTATGTCTGACAACGTCTCCTATGCAAACCTTATACATATGTATATGTTTATTCAATAGGATTTAAGAAGTGCTCTACATTGCGTTTCTAAATATACAAGATGTTCGATAAGTTTTGATGAAAAGCGTTCGAGTACAGGTAGAGTGAACTAAACTGAACAAGGAAATCCATGTAAGTGTTCTCTTGAATATGTTTTCTATATAAAAATAAAGGATATACGTATTTTTTTTTATAAGAGTCCAATCGCTCTAGAGAGTACAGCTCTTTTAGAGAGTGCTCTTTGAAGAAAACCAATTTTTTTTTATTTTTGCAAATTTTATAGAATCTTATTTTATAGAAATTAGAAAATGAAAAATCTTTAAAATATTAAAATATTTTAAATAAATGAGTTATGGCAAAAAGTGTAAAAACTTTCTTGACACTTCTGAAAAGTGTTCCAGTTTGTACAAAGTCAGAAATTCTGAAAAATTCTGAAGAAAATTTTTATTAAGAATGTATCTTTTATATTTATTAATATTTATGTTAATATATATAATATATTAAATATCGCACCACTGACGTTACCTAAAAAAAAAATCAATTATTATTTTAAAATAATTAGCTAACTATTATGTAAATTTTGTATTAAACTGTTAATTATTTATACTATATACTGCATGTTATATAGGGTCTTTTTTTGTGGCTAAATTAGTGTACATTTTTGGAACTTAAAGTGAGATAAGTATATGTTTAATATTTGGCGAAAAAGAGAGATTTCTAGTCCAGTTTAATGCAGGAATAACCGACCCACAAATTATTGTGAAATGCAGTTATTGCACATGATCGCATGATCGAGATTTTTCTGCGATAACAGAATCCTTAGGGCTGCTGCACACATTTTCAGTAACTTTAAGACATACCGTAAGAATTAGCCAATCACAATTAAGAACCAAAAACTTGTAGCTCTGATTTGCCAACTCTTAGGGCCATTCCACACAAACTTGCATAATCATATGCATAAAGAAAATTATCCAATTGCATTTCGCTTATAAAGACGCACATAAAATGTAATTGGATGATTTTTTTATGCGTACGTTTATGCGGCAATGCAAATTTGTGTGGATTATTGTTGTGAAAAGTGTGTGCAAACCCTCTCATGTCCAATGTCAGAAATCGATACGAGATCTCGAATGGAAAGAAAGTTTACCAATCACAAATCGATTGATCGAATTGTTGAAGTGCGATTGGTCAATTCGTTCGAGATCTGGGATCGATTTCTAGCATCGTGAATACAAGGCTTAAGAATTTTGTTTTTTGTGTGCTTTTCAAAAATATTTTCAAAAATCAGTTTAGCATCTATGCTATTCGTTAACATAAAAAAATTATTCCAATTGTTTATGTATATTATTTTATACTACGTTAAATATAAATATAAATTTCTTCGTAATTAGCCCGAAACATATATGAAAAATCAATCAAAAACTGTCTGAGCGATGTTTAAACTGTTATACAACGCATAGATGTTTTCTGATTGACACTTACCGGCGATTATACTGCCTCCAATATTTAACAATTTCCGATTGGTGAAAAATTTACTGAGCAACAGAATACGAATATTTCTTTTTTACTATATCATTAAAGAAATAGTATTGAATATTAATTAATTGATAACCTTTAGATATGGCTTGATGAAGCTGACGTTGTATGTATTTTATTTATATCAAGGCCAAAGTGTTGACTGAATAAATGTATGCACTTACTGTAGTTAATGTACACATTTACTATAATAAATCTTACATAAATGTATATACATTGAGTAATAAATGTATACTTAAGTTTACACTTTGACTGTGACATAAATACACTCAAGGAAAGGTTGAAGGATAAGACTTTCTCTCAAAAAAATATTGATGAAATTTGAGTCATTATGTGTATTTTTTACCTTTGTTCTAATGATATAAATGAAAAGTAATGATAATAAAATAAAAGAAATTAAATTTAAAGAATCTCAGTTGTTTAAAACTAGTCAAGATCAATTTAAAAGATTTCGATTCGAGTTGTGTAGTCATGTGTCATTCGATGACATGGTATTGAATATGTTGAATTAAAAAAAATGTTTTGTATTTAATAGGTCAAATTAAAAAAAATTTTTAGTCTTGAATACGGCGAATTATTAGAAAAAAATTTTTTTTAGAACTTTTAATGCAAAATAAGTAAAAAATTAATCCATGAAACACATTCATATATGTAATAATTAATATTACATAGAGAAAGTAATTTTTAATGAATATATTAATATAAAAAAAATCGTTCATCTTCTTTATAAACTTTTATGAAAATGACAGAGTAATTATTTAACAAAATAATTAACGTAAATGTTGATATTCTAATAAAAAGAGATGTACAGAGGATAAAATAAATTAATTGATCATTCTGCGAGAAAGGTGACTTCGAATCTTTTAAATAAAGCTACTCGCAACAGCGCGTAAAAAAAAGGACCCTTATATATTTATCTATATTTACATTTGCTTATAATGTACATTTTATAATGCTACGTACATCAGTCAACGGTCTTTTGATTTAAACGATTTACTTTTTATTCATCTATCGCCTTCTAGAAACGTTCATTGTTATACAGTATCTCTCGTGTCTTTGTATTTTGATAGAACTAAATAACGGGGCAGCATAAATGTTCTCAGACAAAGAGACAGGTCACTCCGGTCGATCGGTGTAAAATCCAAGCGAGTGTTCTATTATTCCAACAATCGCTAGTCATGAATGCTATCGTGCTCAACAACACATATGGACGATATTCACGTAAACGATGATCGGTGATAACGGCGATGATCGGCAGAATGCCGTCATTCACATCGCCGTGACGTCGGTAGCGGCAGTAAACGCTAAGTAATAATATCACAGTGTGGGTTTCTCATCCGCGGGCTCCTCTTTTATGGGATGGCTGCATTCCATTAGCGCAGGATTCGCCACGGCGATTATGTTGTCTCCGCGCGAGGCTATCACCTACACATAATTTATGTGTGAGCCATTAACAGCCGTACAATAAAATTCCGTGGCGACGTCTATCGCCGTTTTTTTTTCTGCTATTCTAAAGAAGCATGCATTATTCAGGAACTGCAAAAAAGGAAAGGACAGCGTAACAGATTAAAAAAAAAACTTGTGCGTCGTATTTAGCAGTTTTTGCAAACGATTCTTCTGACGTTCAAGTAAGGATGACGAAAGATGAAAGATGAAGATACAACGAAGACCTTGGATCTGTTCGTCGCTCACCTTTAGATTGAAGTCGCTTTCTTTGTCGGTGTTCTCAGCCTCCGCCTCGTTAGTGTCCTGAAAAATATGCATATTATATCGCTGTTCAATTCTGTGCTTTCAGTTCTGTGCCAGAATTTAAACGCACAGGTATATATAGATCTTAATATTACACACGTACGTGCATAGACGAAGATTCCTCGTTAGAAAAGGAAAATTGGCTATCCGAGTCACTAATTTCTTCCACGCTAGCGCTGAATATACCGTTATTATTCTTCTTCCTCCAGACTGGACTGAAACATTGCGAATATCTGAACATCAATGTGCTATTATTTACGTAATTATAAATAGAACAATGCAAATATATTTAAATTGAGATTATAAGAAAAGAAAGATACAACTCTCCAAATTCGAGAATATTGTAAGTTACATTCTAAACAGTAATTTTTAGTACATAAAAAAATAAATTTAAAATTCTAAAACAAGTAAAAAACGTGATATAGATGAATCAATTAGGATATATATTTTTCAAATTAAAATAAATTAAAGAAAATATTTAAATGAATATTTTCTCGATCATTTTAATTTATTATTTATACATATATTAATTTATTGTATAATAATATAGAACTTAATATATTTTAATTTGTTAACTAAAAAGAATAATGTCTACATATATTACTTGTTTATATTTCTTTTCTTGTTAATTTCCATTAAAATCTTTAATACTTTGGGATAAAAATATTGCACATCAAAACTAAGGATAATCACCTCGACGACCTGTGTCTTCTCGTGATAGAATTGTTAATATCCGTTCCAGAACAGCGTAGATCTAACTCCTCCTGGAACAGTGAACTGCTACAGACAGTAGAAGTAGCAAATTGGATGCATGAAAGAAAAGAGGAAAATAACAGAGGGGAGGTGTGGAAATGGGACATGTGTGAGAGAGGCACGATCAAATGCGAACAAATAAATACGACTTGGGATACCAGGCGCAGAGCATAGAGTCCAAGCAAGTCGTATCGAATGACTCAATCTTCGAAACGACTGATTTTTGCAATCAAATTTAACATATCATACAAAAAGAATTTCCCCGTTATTTTTCCATGAGGAATTCCATGTGTTCTAATTTCAAATATCTATTCAACATGCAAATTGAAGATTTAGTGAAAATTCATGCAATATAAGCAAAAGAAACCATGGCCAAAGTCAAAATTCAAAATAATTGCATTTATAGAATTATTAAGTAACTCTCAGAAATGAAAGAAGAAATAGCTGTAAACTCGCTAAAGTAATATGTAAACTCATTGTTAACTTCGTGATCACTGGGGATCCAGAGGATTCCAAAAAGGTGTGAGGCTTTATATTTCTAAGGTCTCTTTTTAAAACTTAAATTCATTTATCCGAAGTTCAAAATATACTTTTTGCGCCTAGAAGCCGGACACTGTTCCTTGAACGTCAGTATTTGCAATTTTTTTTAAATATGTTAAAATTGAAAACTTTAAAAAGCCTTTGCATTTCTCTCTCCATATTCTACAATGTTTAAAGTATGTTCAGTAATTTTTGTGATTTTAAAGAATAAAAATTGCAAATACGGCAATCGATTGAAATGTTGGGCTCATTTTGCCCCCTGTGTGACCAATATAAAATTCTTAGGAGATGTAATCACGAAGGGTTAAGCAAAGATTTTAAGATAATAATTTGCATGCTCATGCTTCTAAATAGAAGCGAATTTTCACAAATTAAATTTAGAAAACATAAATAGATAACAATAATTAAATAGAACATTTTTTGTGATTCAATTAAAAATAAAGATTAAAATTAAAAAATTTAATTTAAATCTCTTTTAATTTTACCAAGATATCAAAAGTTAAAACTTGAAGTGATTAGAAGATCGGAAATTATTTTAAGTTTTAAAACTGATATAATACTGATATAAGACATCAACACGAAGTTAAAATAACGTCAGCTTGTTTGCTGAGGCGTTAGTTGTGAAACGAATTTGTACATTAATTGCTATTAACTTTGACAAGATTAAGCGATAAACTTTGTTCTCATAATAATTTTTAATTATTATTTACATATAACGCGCGAACAAGTAATTTATATATTGAATATAATCGTCATTTAATGACACAAACCAAATTTATCGATTTGTTTATACACACATTGACTTTGGCTTTAGAGATAACATAAATATAGCTAAGTTTCTATAATATAAGATTACACAACAAAGCGTCTCAGTACACGCCATAGTTGCAAATTACGAAGGAAAGATTCAAACAGATTTCTACTGCAATCAACGAACAAGTCACCCGATCTTGAGTCAATCAAGTGGAAGAAGCGCAAGCCATGCACGTGCTTTTGCAACTATACTTGACCTTTTTCGCATCCATTCTGTTTCGCGCGTCTAAGTTAGTGCGGGTGGTTAATGCGTGGCGATCTCTACGCGACGAGCGTACGGTTAATGATTAGCGGCCATGCGAGTGCGGCAGGTCACAGTGCACAGGGAACGTGGATTTCTGTGGATGGGGTGATCTAACCTGCGTCGCGTCCTCACCCTCACCCTCACCCTCCAACTCGAGTTTTGGGCGTTTCGAGCGTTCGCCATCGGTCTCCTCCCCGTTCTCACGCGGCCTCGACATTGATAAGCTGTAATAACATCGAATGACTAAATAAATACATTTATATAGATAGAATCATATAATCAGTCAAACTGAAAATAGATTTCCCAAATCTGTCGAAAACTTTTAGCGGGATACCAATAAGAATGTAACAGAATAGCTAATAGTGTATGATGGTGAATTGATTACAGAATTGAGTAGAATCTGCCACTTCGTAGCTATTGAAATAATATACATACCACTTAAACGGTTAGATAAAAATAATTAAAACTTGATAAAGTCTGTTTCTGCTGACAATCTTCCAAATTAATAGCAGACTTTGCTAGCAGAATATTAGCTTGATACGAACACAATTGATATAAATTCACCACGATACTTATTCTACTCGCATAACATTGTGATTATTGAGTTATTCAAACCCATTCAAAAAGATATGATTGATTATGCTAATTCAATTAACATTAATAATATTTTAATCTACCAATAATCTCTAAGATAAATTTTGGATCACCTGAAATTAGGATCAGAATAGTTCTGAATTTTAAGTTCTCGAATTCGCAGATTCCATAAAAGTGGGTGTAAGCCTACGTTTACTTACTATTGGCTTTTGGAGTAATGGTAACCGGAATCGCGAACGACACGACGCGCTAAAGGGAACAATTCATCTCTCCTAGTGAGGAGGGCAGGCACGAATCTGCAGATTTGCGCCGCGGCCTCGTTCACCGACACTTCATGCAATGTCAAAGGCTTCTCCGGCTTTCTCTTGCAATCGAATCTGCCGTAAATCGCCGCGTACTTTCGGATTTCGTCCATTTTGCGCGGATCACTATCGGACATTGTCATTACCATCTGTAAAATGAAAATGCATTTTTTTTTTTTTTAATATTTCATTGTGCTCGCGCTAGAATTTGTGAATTAAATTAAAAGCTGGGTCATCGCCAAACGTAACAATCTCGTTAAGCGATCGTGTTTGAAACAGATGTTAAATTTTCCACGGATGTAGCATCTAGCGATTAAAAACGAGCGCGCCTGCCGGTCGAAATTAACAAATCACCTCCAGCTTCTTGCAGAGTTTTTTCTTCACGTTGTGAGGTTTGGGATCGAGGGGCCTTATGGTAGCGACGAGTCTCTCCGCGGCCTCGGCGAGCCGCTGCACCTGTGACTGCAGGAGGGGCGGCGGTGGCTGCGTCGGGCTCGCAGGGGCACCACCGCCGCCACCGCCACTTGGACTTGGCGTGGTTCCGCTGCCGCACGAAGACTCGCACGTTCCTACCTACATACGCAACAAAAGCAATGAAGCGCGTAAAAATGGCACGAAAGCGAACGCTCGTCAGAAAGCCCAGATGCTCTTATACAATTATTTACGTAATATATAATTCAATAAAAATGTCTAAGGTTCTACAGGCCTGGTTCTACAAATGTAAAAGTAATCTCGGTTTAACTCATTATTTATCTTTTTCTAGAATTTTTCTTAGAATTAAAAAAAAATAAATAGTAAGTCAAACCGAGATTAGAGTAAACTTTTACATTTATGGAACCGAGTCTAAAAAATGTTCAAACACTCATAATTTAGTTTCTTAAACATTTAGATATAATATTATTCATAAATTAAGGAAGGATATACACCCAGACAGATCAAGAAAGTTCCTTCTACAAATTTTTTCTTAACGAAAACTATTAACTCAAACAAGATCTTGACCAATTCACGAAAATATATTGGTGAGTGTTACAGTATCTACTGTAATAGTTGCTCACAAAGTGTATGCATAAAAGAGAAAACTATTACGATCCGTCTGTTTTATGTCGGTGTAAAACATAGTTTTACGCGAACATAAGTTGGAGAAGCAAAAATCGGAAACTTCAGCACAGTCGCTCGATAGTTTCTCGCACAATAATCAAGGAGACGATTTCCCTCCGATTTCATCGGCCTCGATCGAACGGTGAATCTTACCTGTAACACATTGGGGCTGTGAGTAGTCGTGTAAGGTAAGGACGTGTTCGGGCTCGGACTCTGGCGGAAGGTCGTGGAGGACGCCGATGCCGACACACTGGTGACCGGCACGACCGGGCTGGCGCTTCGGCAGGGCAAGGGTGTCAGCGGCATGTGGGGCGTTGTCGACACGTAGGACGTCGGTGTCAGGGAGGTCTGGGAGGTCGCGGCGAAGCCGGTTGGCAGGCTCTGCATTTGCGGCCGCGGGCTTGCGGCGGCAGCGACGACGGCAGCGGCGGCGGCAGCGGCGTTCGTCGGTACAACCGGCGTTTGAAACAATGCTACGAGATGCACAATTTCGATGCGTCACACGCAAGATTTCATTGTGTGTTTCAATGCAAAACACGTGAATGTTATGTAAAATTTACATGAGTGAAAAACCGCCATATTCGGTTAGTCAAGGTGGTTCTTCGTGCCTAATAATATTTCTTGAATTTATACAATTTCCAGTTAAATGCACGCCAATTATTTATCAGTCTTGAAATACAGTCCTAAACCGAAGCTGGAGTAATATCACAAATTAAATTGACAGCAATTTAATATTATTGCCGCAATTTAATTCAAGACTAATAAATAATTGGCATACAGTTAGCGCTTGAATTGGAAACCGTGTAATTTCACAAGAAATGTTATTAGGCACGAAGAACCTTTTTGATCAACATTTTTACTTATGTATGTTTAATCTCATCGGTCGATTTTCCGTTTATATTGTTTATGTAAAATTTCGGGGAACTACATAACCGAGCGATGAGGCTTAGGATCATACAGACAGACAGACAGAGAGAGAGAAAGAGAGAGAGAGAAAGTGTATTTAAAGCATGATACTTTACAGGGATTAGTGAGCCACTCCTGCAAAGCTTTCTGAAGCCTCCTGACGTGGAGTGGCTTGCTTGCCATGCCCACCAGTGCCATGATCTCCAGGAACTCCTCTTCGCCCGCGTCGCACAGCTGTTGCACGTCATCGCCTCCTGTAATGCGACGTCATGCGATTTATTAGCAAGTCACTCTTGCGAGAACTACGAGGTGTCATTCGCTAAGCGAATTCCCTTTAAACTGAATAAGTTCTAATTTCGAGTCGTTTTTCTCTTTATGGACAAATCAGAGTTCATTTACAATTTTTTAATTTTAAGCGATTTAAAATAAACTTGAAAACTAAATTTCAGTAAAACAAAAATTGATTATATATATAATCGTATTCTACAGTTCAAGTAAATTTCCACGAGTTGCAATAAAGAACGATTTTCCATTATTCTTAAAAAAAAAATCGGTTCGAAATTAGCCAAAACATCCACAAAGTTCATGAGAAAAAAATATGTCAAAAAATATTCTCGGGAATTTTTAAAATAGCAAAAAATGCATTGAGCTATCTTAATTTCTGAACAATCAATATCTACTATTAGATTGGTACAGCAGAAAAAATATGCAACCTGATAAAATAAATACTACAGCCAGAGAGTTAATCAATAAGAGAATAAATGCTTTTAATTGTCTGAAAATCAATTATTTTTTGTAATATATAATATTTTATAATAATAATTTAATATCTTTTTTCTCTACGATCTCCACAAAATATTATAGGGATCTAGGTTTCGAACTGTGCATTTATAGGGATTAGAATCTGCGAATACTGCGTATAAAGATATCTTTATAGATTGGAATATTTTCTCGGGATCTAAAAGTACATATTGTACCTGTATCAGACAATCAGATTAGAAACTGAGATTGAGATTGGATTGAAATTTAACCAATCAAAAGAAAGAAAACAAATATCAAGTTGAATAAATCAATTTGTTTTGATTGTCAAATTCCAATCCAATCTCAATCTCAATCTCTAGTCTGAAACTAATATTAGGTACATATTATCATACAACAATTTTTTCAAGTTTGTTGATTGACTATAAAGATTTGAGAACCTTTCCTATAGGCAATTAGCATACTTTAAAATCTGTTCATACGACAAATATAATATTAGCCTGATACGAGTATTAAGATATTTCTTGGATCGAAATAATTCCCTGGAATCTAAATACATTAGAATGTCTTTCAATCAACGTACATAGATACATTTTCGCTTATATACTTACCCATCTCGAGAAGTGTGTCATAATATCCCAGCAGGGAGGCACGCTGCATCACTCTGTACAGTTGCAGCTCGGCCTCGTTCTGCGGCACGGACGTCTGTACCACTGCAAATCGCACATCGCATTCGTTAAAGTCAAGTTAAAGTGATTCATTAAAGGAGGTACGGCCGCAATTAGCGATAAAGGATCGCCTCCAACCGATCGGCGATTTTTGGCTTTTTATTACAATAGTAATAATCAGCCACGGCAAGCTGTCGTCTACTCCTTTCTTACCCACTCCGTCCACGATCTCGACAATCAATTACATCGTAATTAGACAGATGCACCGTTAATATTCCATGGACGATTGAATTGAGCCTAAAGCCATAATCATACCACAGGTTTCCGGTTACGGTTACCGCGGTTGACAATTTTATCTTAGCCAGTCACATTGCAGATGGTCCATATTCGCTGTATTGTAATTGGCTAAGATAGAACCAACCACCGACAACCTATAGTGTGATTACAGCTTAAGGTTCAAGCAAATATATCACTCGTTACTCATACGTGCGTCAAACACGTGAGAATTTAATAACATTGCAATGTGATTCTGATTCGGTTTCTTTATGATAACGCATATCTCGAAATCTAACACAAAGTAATACAAAATAAAACTAGGGCGTAAAATAATACACCAACGGAGAAGGGAGCCAAGAACCGTTACAATATCTCCGATATTTAACAAACAGATGAAAATGTTAGAGATTTTTCTATTATTCAATTTTTCCAAGATAAATTCGTTCGGAAATATGTCTGTAAATATTATTTACAATTCTTAAGACGCTTAAATTAACATCAAATTATAATATCTTTTTAAGATGCTTAGTAGTCAATAAAAAAATTATTGAATTGCTTGTATTGATATTACTATTCTAATTCTGTTCATGATTGCGTTTCAGAATCGAAAAAGATTTCGATTTGCAGAATGGGATATGTATATAAATTCATTCTTTGTGAAATGATTAGGCACTAACAATAAGATTCGCTTTAATCGAATATACATGTTTTTTTTGCGCTTTTATAAGATTATCATTATTGACACCATATGTTTAGGCAAATTAGGAAAAGGATTAATTCAATCTGTTAGTAATAGCAACCACTACCCTCGACTCGCGATTACCCGCGATCTTCGTTGTCTTCGCCGCCGTTCCGGCACGATCGCGCGAGTTTGTCTCTTCGGATGACGAGCGAATGGACGCCAGAGTGTCCGACTAGTTTCTTGCAAATTTCGAGGAACTGCGAGAAAAAGCGGCGTGCACACACGTACCGCGTATAAATTAATACCGGTGCCGCCGTTGGAGAGAAGGGAGGGTGAGAGGGAGAGAGAGAGAGAGAGAAGAGCGCAGGGTAAAACCGAAGAAAGAGGTCGTGGAGGTAAGAGAAAGACTGGACAGGGAGAGAAAGAGACACGAAGAGAGGGAGAGAGAGGAACTGGAAAAAAAACTGGCCGGCGGGTCTTATTACGAGCCCGGGTCTCGGTCTCACGCTCGTACATCGCGGCCTCTCGGGGCCCGCGAATAAGTCCCCGCTGCCAACGACGGCCAACGACGGCCACGACGGGGACAGCGACGGCGACGGCGGGGTGGCGACTCGTTCCGCGAGATTTTTCTAGCGCGAACTACGACCTACGAAAAAAGGATCTACGTGGAAGAGCCGTGCCTTGGGTCAGCAGGATCCTCGGCGGAGCGATAGAAGGGCAAATAAAAAGGGAAAGCCATGATGTAAGAATACAAAGCGTTTCATTGCTTATAATGGCGGTCGAATATAATTTCGGAGCAAATTTTTTATTGGTAGTACAGTTCTAATAATGGCTCTATATTGACTTATTATATTTTGGGCTAATTTTCTGATTGGTCATCAATTGCGCATCTCTGGAGTGAAACACCTTGTACATCATAGGGGCAGCGTTCACCAAAGCATGAGAAGAGAACACTTATGCAAGATAGTAAATCTCTAAGAAATCAAATTGATTTTAACTCCATAAAATAAAAAATAGAGCAAATTAATGAAGTTCCATATAAGTAAGCAAAGAATTTTATATTTGGTCAAAATGGGTGTCTAATCATATTTTTTGTGTGAATTTTTGCAATTTCCAATTCAAGCAAACTGTCAATGGTCAAAGTTCACACAAAAATATTATTACTTATTAGGACTCGTTTTTGTTAGATACGGCGTTCTTTATTTATTTGTTGAATTTTTCGATCGATTTTCATTTACTATTGTTTAACGAAGTTGTATACTAATTGTGCGCTTACTAAAATAAAAAAGAAACTAGTGGTTCAGTTTTGTTTTTTGAGATTGAAATTTGTATCGATTGAATCGTTATTCATTTATTATCGTATTAAAATCTTTACTGTTATATTACAATCTATATTTCTTACCAAATAATTTATTTTGAATATTTCGATTATTAATTGTGCTCTTTTTGAGCTGCATATTCTTCCATTTTTCAATTAAAATTCTATTAAAATCTATATTTGAAATTAAATGAAAAGGGATATCTTGTGATTTATTCACTTATTTGAATCATAATCTGCCAAAAAAGTGTTTTATTCTTAATCGCTGAATACTCGAAAACTGTTAGACCGACATTTTTGCGAGAAGAAAATAGATCAAAGGGACTCGGAGTAAATCTTGTAAAAAGTATTCGTCAGTTTTGGGTCAAAATAATATTTTTCGTTATACTGTTACATTTTTCATCTGTTTTTATATTTCTGAATAATTCTCATTGTAGCAAAAATATGTATGTCATGCATGGCAAGGCCAAACATCAGTTCACGAATCTTGCATTTTCGCGAGTACCCGGCCAGCAAAATTCCCGTATAGGCCGCCAGTACGCGAACTCCACCCCCTAGTTTTTGCATCAATTCCCGCTTTTACGCTTCGCTCTCATTATTATTGCCGCCCGCCATTTATTTATATCACCGTGGCTGACATCTTATTCACGTTTTCACGACTTTATTAATACCGCGTGTATGTGATATACACGTTGTTGATCATCTAGTCGAGCCTGTCATCCGCGCGATAACACTTCGATCGAGCTTTTGTTAAAAAATAAAACCACGCGCAATCGTCCGCTCATCATTAACTTCACGCCGCATTAACTGAATTTATTAATAATTTTTCATCCTGTATTTTTATTGCATATATTTACTCGACCTAATTTGAAAATTGGACGAGGGACAATCTTCGAAATACTTACATTATACCTGTATCAGACTAGAGGTTGAAATTGAGATTGGATTTGACCAATCAAAAGAAAAAAAAACCAATATTAAGTTTACTGAACTGTGCTTTAATTAGTTAAATTCAACCTCAATCTCAATTTTTAATCTAGTACAAGCATTTGTGCTATTTCAGTCGATCCGTCTCTCGAGAAATTAAAATATTACAATGTAAATAAATTTTAATTATTTACAAAAATATATTATGAATTATTCATCCATTAATCAAATCTGTTTAAATTTACTGAAACTCCATCCCCAATTTAAGCAATAGATATTTTCTCGCTTGGAAAGAACTCCGCGTGACCACGGGTTTTTGGCCCTGAAAATTAAAATTGACTTAAAATGTAGTGAAAAACTATAACATACTACAGTTTCGGTCAATTTCACGGAGCGCCAAAAACCTATGGTTTTGTACGGGATGCTTTATGTTCGCAAAATTGATCGCTGGATTTTTCAGAATTATTCGGACCTCATTTTGCCACATTTGTCCTTGATCTTTCAAGCTGGAAATCGTCATTAATTGTCGTTCGAGTCGCACAGCTCACCCAGTATACCTGTGACCGACAGAACGGTGGCGCGGTTCTAGGCCGGGCTCTCGCGGCGCATTTACATAACGACTTTTTTGGCATGGGGTGGCTCGTTTTTGTCAGCCGGGAACGCGAACGCGGCCCGGAGGCGGAGAGGCGCGTCGCGACGGCGAGAAAAACCTGATCCCACCGCGGCAGTACCCCCGAAGGCTCGCACGGCACCCGGCTTCCCGTCGTCGTCGTCATCGTCGTCATCGTCGTCGTCGTCGTCGTCAATCCGCGCGTTCTTTATGGACAACGGTGTGCGACCGGTCCAGTACTTTTTGAAAGAAAAAAAAAGGGGTGAGTGGGTACGACGAGTTTGGAGATAGGTGTCATTCGGATAAATTTTTTGCCCATCATTCATTTATCATTCAATAAAATTTCGTTCGTATTATTATCGCATATTTAATAAAATTTTATTTTATTGCAACGCACTGTATGACAAAGGATACAATATAACAGATAAATACATAAATGTTATGGGGTGTGATATTATAATCCTATAATCCTGCGCAGTAGCTTGCAAATGATTTAGGTGTTAGCAGAACTGCTGTTATAAGGCCTATCAATATAGAGAAGAAAACACCAAAAGTTAATATAATGAACCGGAGAAAATCTACTCGTCCTATCATTTTCATTTTGACTTTCGTCCAACTGGCGTTCTCCAACTGCTGTGGAGAACCGGACGTCTATGTTGATTGGCTTTAATCTCGGTTTGATTTACTTTTAACCCTTTTAATCTACATTGGTGGGAACGAACAATAGTCATATAAATTAAACGTTATTTTAGAAATTTCGTTTCTTGAAAATATAATTTATTCTTAATGAGATATCTAATATATTTCGAAAAAATAGTTTGTCTTTTATGTACTTGACAAATAATATAATAATGTTAACTCTGTCCATCTCTTTTTGTAATTATATTTTTATTCCCTCGGTGCAATCTGAATCTTTTTTGTTCAGCCCAAGTTTTCTTTATCGTTCTAGGCTCTAAAAAAGAATTCAAAATTACTTTTGAATATCTGTTACAGTACCAAATGATTTTTTAAATGTTAAAGTTTTTTTACTTAATAAAAATTTATTTAATAAAAATTGAAATTTGAACAAAAATAAGGATGAATTTAAAAGTGAAATTGCGTTTTTGCGAAAACATCTAGATTGCAGATAAAGGGTTAATACATTAAGATGAATCATAATTCATTATTTTTTTAATACAATGTCAAAATGGGGTCAGAATTTCGATCATTTTAGTCACGATAACATACGTTAA